TTGATTTCCTTAGATATGTCAAATATCATCCCATTTTATCGGATTCTAGATAGAAATTCACCGATCCAGCCATAACTAAATTAAAAATAAAAATTTTATATTTCAAAATTCCTTTAGCCCATACTGTTCCAAGTGATTGATCATTGATTGGTGAGCAAATGAATCTATAGACTCACAACTGTTAGAAGACAAATAAGGCAAATATATGAATAAAAAGATGTCGTGCTCCATAGTTTGGGAGAGGTAAAATTAACAGCATTGAGTGAGCAGTCTTGGGCAAGAAAACAGAGGCCAAATCAGGAAAGTGCCTTGCACTTTTAGCCGTCTAAGTCAGCAGAACTAAAGTTAAACATATCCGTGTATTTCAATCCTAAACTATAAAATGAAATACTATTGAAATATGAATGGATACACAATAAGGCAGGCTCAAAGCGATTAAACATGCATTTATAACTTAAAACGAAATATAACAATCAACATAGAAGTGCTCGATCTCCAGTATTTAAATCAATACACAAATGCAACCTATTTTAAAAGAAAAATCATAATTGATTTCAAAGCGATAGTAAACGATGATATTTTATAAGATCCAATAGGTCTGACAATGGCAGTCAAAATTCAGATTTCGCAGTGAAATTCATGAGATTTGGAAGCTATAAAAAATACTCCATGATATAAGAATAATATAAGGCATCGAAGATAATTAAAGATATGAAGACCAAGATGTTGTGGCCTCTGGTATAGTCGCAGTCTATTAATTAAGTTTAAAAAGCGCATTTTCATCCATTTTAAAATTAATATACGAAAACATTTAAAGGCTGAGTGAGGATATGGTTAAGTTTGAGTAATGACTCGAACACAAACCTCGTTAAATACGGAGACAGAGTACCAAGCCAGACGCTGGATCTCAAGTTTAATTTTATCCATTATGACGGACTTAGCATGTTCCAGGTGCTGAATCAGCTGGGGCTGAAACGGAAGAAAAAAAGAATATCTTAGACGAGGTAGTTACAAAAACTCGAAAAGTTCCAAACTAAAAAGATCACGCAAACTAAAAAAAAGCTTGGGATAGACAAAAGCGTTAAGATATGAAGACCAAGATATTGTGGCCTCTGGTATGGTCGCAGTCTACTTTCGATTTATAGAAATGGGTTGACCTCGTTGTCGCAACTTGGTCTTATTGTCAGGGCAACTTAGTAGAACGCACCTAGTCCAAAGTCGTCTGCCATAGTAGTTGTCATGATTCCCAGCATCAGACAAGGGACTTGGTACTTTTTCAAACGTTTTGCTGGCATCAGAGTCGGCATCACCAGTGAGTGCTGTCATCCTCCGCACCAAGCTACGAACTCGTCAAAGAGACAAGTAAAGCTAATCCTTCGACCAACGTTCTGCAGAAAACGGTTACACTATCACTCCTCTTTCTGTCCTGGCCTATCTATCTACTCTTTACCCTCTAATCACACTGCCACCCTATCACAAATTTTCACTTGTTTACATTCCACTCGTCAAAAGGTGTGCTCGTTCGTGGCAAATCTAGTGTGGCCTCAGCACACTTGCTATTCACCCCGAACCCTCTCTTTCTATCGGCTTATCCGTCTCGTGGATCCGTTCCTTATCTTTCTGGTTGACCGATTTCACTCGATTCCAGTCCCAATGTGCATACCACTCCAGGCACTATTTCTCAAGGCCATAGAAGCACGTACACTGCCTCTTCACTGAGCAGAGCGCCGAAGCTCTAATTGCCATGCTTTAAGACATCAGGCCTTGCGTTCGTGGGTCCTCTCCTTGATTAAACCCATGTTATCTGAGCAAATTGTGGACGCATATCTCTGGTCGCATGCGGCATCTCAAGTGGATTTCTAGTGCATTTTAGGCATAACGCCGAATTTCCGTGACGGTTTTCTTATCCGTCTGCTCAGCTCCCTGACTGCCAGGCCCCCAAAGTTGTACTGATTTATTCGAAATGGACATCACTCACTGAAGAAGTCTTCGCTTTATTGCCGAAAAACCCTTCCCCCGAGTTTATTACTCGCGAACCCTTTTCCTCCTGTTAGCGGTAGATCCTTAATCGAGGCGTCACCTTTTCGCTGGTCTTGCTCTATTCGTGCTTTCTCCGAGTTTGCTCAACCTTTAGGCAAAGTAATCGCTAACTCTACCTTCCTCCAACCTCATGTTCATTAGATTTGTCTCCCTAACGATGTCA